ATTAGTTTGGGTCAGTTTTGGACCAGTGTGTGTCCGTTTTGGGCTGGGTGGGTCAGTTCTGGTCCATTTTAGACCAGTTTAGGTCCCTTTTGGGTTAGTTCGGGTCCGTTTTGGGCTGGATTGGGTCAGTTCTGGTCCGTTTTGGACCAGTTTAGGTCCGTTTTAGGTTAGTTCGGGTCAGTTTTGGGCTGAATTGCGTTAGTTTGGCTCCGTTTTGGACCAGTTTAAGTCCATTTTGGGTTAGTTCGAGATGTATCGGTAGTATCGTGACAACCCTAGTGGGCACAAATCCCCCACCCCCACCCCAAAAAAAAACAAAACAAGTTGCTCAAACCTTTCTTGAACTCCTCCAACATGGAGTCCAGCTTGGTGTCGTGGAACACGAAGTGGACGGGGTGGTTGTAGAACTTGGTGATGGTCTTGAGCGTGGTGCAGTCGTCCGGGTCCACGAAGGCCAGGTCCTTGACGTAGAGGATGTCCACGATGTTTGAGCGCTCGTCGTCGTACACGGGGATCCGCGTGTAGCCGCTCTCCATGATCTCCGACATGGTGTTGAAGTCCAGCACCGCGTCGCTGTGGATCATGAAGCAGTCCTTGATGGGCGTCATCACGTCCTCCACCGTCTTGGTCCTCAACTCCAGCGCCCCCTGGATCATGTTCAGCTCCTCCTTGACCAGATCGTTGTAGGGCTCCGTGACTTTGAGCATCTCCACCAGCTTCTCCCGGTTGTAGACGGTCCCGATCTCCTGCCCCAGGACGCAGTCCAGGATCTTGCTGATGGGCCAGGAGAGCGGGAAAGTGAGCAGCATGAAGAGCTTGGTGACCATGATGGTGTTGGCCCCCACGGCCAATCCGTGGCGGGAACACAGAGCCTGGGGCACGATCTCCCCGAAGATCACGATGCCCACGGTGGACGCCACCACGGCCCCGATCCCGGACTTGGTCAGGTCGTCCAATAGGATGGTGAGCGTGGTGTTGACCAATACGTTGCCCAATAGCAGGGAGCACAGCAGGTAGTTCCCCTTCCGGCGGATGGGCTCGATCTTGCGGGCGTACCGCTTCTCCTTGTCGGTTCCGCAGCTCTGCACGATGCGGAGCTCCATGGGGTCCAGCGCCATCAGGCCCAGGTTGAGTCCGCTGAACATGCCCGAAAGCACCAGGAGGAAAGAGATGAGGATCACCTGGAGCCACACGGGCAAGAGGGACCGCTCCTCCTCCACCACCCGCAGCCGGCCGTCCCTGCCCTCCAGAAGGAGCCACCGCTTCTCCTCCACCGGGTCCCGCACGCAGAGGCCGAAAACCTTCACCGCCTCCCCCTTCCGGAGCTGCTTTATCCGGATGCCCACGGACCCGGACGTGTTCCGGTCGGTGCCGGAGACGTTCATGGGTCCGCTCACCGCCACCTCCTTGGAGAGCTCCGGGCAGGTGCCGTTTTCCGGGACCGGGACGGGGACCGCTCCGTGGTCGTCGTCGTCCATTTCCGCCCCGGTGAAGAGCTCCGCGAACCGGACCAGCTCGGAGCTGTTGGGCCGCAGGTGGAGCCCGTAGAACCGGAGAACGGCGTCGCTGCCCTCGGTCACCTGGATGACCCCCCGGGGGGTGGTCTCCGCGGGCCGGGTGCTGGTCTCCAGCCGCATGCCGAGGATCCGGGTCGCGTCCCCGGCGAGGGAGGCCGCCTCCGCCCCGGTCCAGAGGCCCGAAAACGGCGTGAAAAACGCGAAAAACGCGAGAAAAGCTAGCGCGGAACCAGCTCCGCTCGACTCCGTCGCCATGTTTGTTTCGCTTCTCTCGCCAACGGCCGGAACTGACGTCAAGTACTCGCAACCACCCCCCTTAGCCCCGCCCCCTTTTCCGGAATCAGCCAATCCGAGGGAGATACGTCACTCAGAGTCACGGACCAAGCCCCCTTGGATTCCGTTTTTAAGGTGGACCGACGAATTGGATTTAAGGTCAACCTCATATAATGTACTTTCTTGTTCTATTGGCTTTATATTTTTACAATTTTGACATTTATTCTTTTTTTTAAAGCTTCCAAGCTTTGATACTTAATTATTTTTTAAACAAATAGAATTGAGAAATGAATGAAAAAAGCCTCCATTGTGAAATAAATATAATCCCATCAAAATGTAATCAGAGGCAAATAAGCTTAACGTCTAATTTAAAGTAATTAACTTAACATATAATGGTAATTTAAAGTAAACAATTGAAAGACAAAGATCATTCAGTGCAAGTGATTTCCACCACGATTGTATGCTTGTTTAGTTGTGGATTTTTGGGCAACAAACGAGCTCCAAGATACACATCTTCATTCAAGAAGAACATTTTATGAACATTATAAATTGACTTTCTTTTATTTAAAGTCAGACTATTTCGAAAGTTGACCAATTGGAGTAAACGGTTACTGGCAGTTACATTTCAGTTAAAACAGAACTGTCTAAATAAGCTGAATCATGTATGACAAACTGAAAGTCTGGTTTTGTGTAAAAAAAAAGGGACGTGGCGCCATCTTCTGCTCAGTTTGTGGACGTTTCCACTTAAAGGCCTCAAGAAATGAAATAACACAGATGTGACTCAATATCTGAATCAAAGATATCTCTCAAGCTGTTGTCTTATTTGCAGTTTGATTATTTTAAATCCACACATTATAGATTTGGAAAGAAAATAGCCCATCTGATCTTCTTTATGAAATACTGCTGTTAAAAGTTAGAAACAAAACATAAACCTTACAAAAACATAGTTCTACCAGTGGTTGAACCCAAAATGCTCAAGAAAAAAGATAAATGGAGCTTTTGTTTTTTTGCGCCATTTTTAATCTGGAGCCAGGTGAAAAAAGAGAGAAAATTGAAGAGACTATTAGGATCAGCAACAACAAAAACAGCCCAATGAAATAAAAGAGTAATGATTTTTACAAATGAATACCAGAAGTATTTACTGTCCACAGAACACTTAGAATATCTGGCAAATAAAATTTCTACAGAAGCTGAACTCTGAATGTGTCCAAACCTGAATTCATTCCCATCAATAAAACCTGCTTGGCTGCAGCATAAAAATATTCTTTAAGTTGGTAGCATAAAAGTATGGCATTCCCTTTTCATCATATTTAGATTTTGATTAACAGAAAAAACAAATGAATGAATAAAAATACAATGCTGAAGTTTGCACAAAGGCCTTCTGACAATATCTGTAAATAAAAAATAGGTGGTTATTAAAAAATGCACACACACTTGTAGATTATTTTCTGTATGTTGGTGCCATCTTGTGGCCGCAACCGCTTTAACGATGAACTACATATATTTATATTCTTTTTTATCATTTATTTATATATATATGTATATATTTTATTGTTTATCTATATATGTATTTTTATTATTATTTATCTCTATATTTTTTATTAGTTATACATATATGTACAAATATATATATACATATATTATATTTATTTAGATATAAATCAGATGTCAGAGAAATGGGCGAGTGTCAAAAGTTATGCCTTTAACTAAATACTTAATAAGACTAAATATGGATGCCTGTTAGTCCTTTTGTGTGCTTTGTGAGCTGAGTTAAATCTACGGATTCGCCCCAATTGCAAATCTTCCATTATGCAAATCTAAAATCTACATAATGTTTTGGGGAATTTTGAGGTTTGTTGGAACGTGTTTCTAGTCGTGTCTGTGAAGCCAAACTAAGAATGCTAAAGGTTTCATACAACTTTAAATAACTACCTTCTTTTTTTTTTATTTCCCCAGGAAACAAAAGGCCTCAAGAAACTTCTGTTAAACAGAAACTATTAAAAGACAGAACTGTTGTTCTGTTGTATACCTTAGGAACTTTTGAGACAAATGTGTTTATTCTATGTTAAACAATGTGTTCTACACGTTGT